CTCTCCACAGGTTGCTTCTTGTTCTGCTGGACTCCATTCTTTGTGGTCCATACGATGCGAGCCGTGTGTCTGACATGCAGCATCCATCCTGGTCTAATGAGCACTGTCACCTGGTTGGGCTACGTCAACAGTGCTCTCAACCCCATCATTTACACCATGTTCAACACAGAGTTCAAGAAATTCTTCAAGAAATGCTTCCGCAGCTGCTGCTGACAACAGATTTCGCCACCACAGACTCTGCAGTGAGCTTAAGGCGGAATGACGAGACTGGGAATGGGTTTTGGAAGGATTTACAGGATTTACAGCATATGACTTCTGCTGGAAAGTCAGAGGTTTTCAGTTTAACCACTTACTTATGGTTGATAGTGGCTTGCTGACAACCTATTAAGATTGATTCTAAGTTGCAAATACTGATCTTATAAATTCCATATCTGGGTCTGTTTTCTCCATTGATGATGTGATTTTGTGATCCCCATGGATTACAGCCTAGAAAAAACTAACAGTGCATTTGTGGAAAGCTACAGAAAACAGATGAACACAGCCTCCCTTACTGAAAACAGAGATTTCACTTTGTCTACACGGCACATTTTTGGAATATACTGTCCATCAGCCTTGGCTGGCTGGCGTTACTGTGAGCCAGTTCCACAGAAGGACATGAGCATCTCAAAACATCTCCAAGGATACGGAAAGACTGAGTAAGCTTCAACAGAGCAGAATGACAAGCAGCTAAAAGCAGCTTCAAGAGCAAAAAACTTATCTAAAATCAGCCACTCATGCCCACTGTTATGAATAAGCATAAAGCAACAGTTTGGCATGATGTGTTTCTTGCAGACAGATAAAGAAGATAAACACCGGTCTCATGTTTGTGTGGTAAATAGGAAGCTACAGCCAGCAGCTGCCTAGCTTAACTTAGCTCAGAGTAGCTTAGCTTAGCTCAGTATAGCTTAGCTTAGCCTAAAGGCTGGAAAGAATAGAAACATTAAAAACATTGTACAGCTCTGAATTATCGTCATCTCGGCCACATAGTAGCAATTTTCAGTCAGTAGAAGCAGAATTAGTAATCAGTGCTCGCTTATGAGTTACCCACTGAATAAAGACTTTTATAGTATTAGATGTGATTAGCGGCACAGCAAGATGCACTATGTAGGGTTACAAGTCCTACTTTGACTCTGCTCAGAAGACTGTATTGCCTGCTTTACATTACCAGTCTAGAATCTAGTGTGCAACCTTTTCCAGCCTTTATGCTGATCATAGCTAAGCTAAACAACTTCTGGCTATAGTGTGAGTGTGTTTGACTGAGTGGAAGGATATAATGATGTTGTGTTTATTCGATCTTCAGGTAAGAAACCATTCAAGTGTTTCCATACATAACAGACTGAATACATTTTTTGATATAATAAAAAGTTCACATCAGTTCAATTTAGACTGCTTCTAGATCAGGCATGGCTAATCTGTAAAACTGTGCATCAGATCTTGTCATATGAATTGTCAGGTACAGTTAAGCATTTTAAGTGCCTAACTGATTTTAGCTGAAAATGGAAAAATGTTTTTCTTTCAGAGAAAGAGGATTTTGGAACGAGACCCAAAGTGTGAAAGATAATAATATTTAGTCATGAACTGCTGACATCTAATGAGCTGGTGTGAACCTCTTCAATGGTATACAACACTGAATATAGCACAGTCGAAACTAGCTTACTTTAACTGCTTTAAAGTAATTCTAAGATATGTAATAATGAAATGATTTATATAATATTAGTAGCTTTATGCCTTAAATTCAAAGCATGTTCTTGTCCATCATGATAGAATTGATCCATCTAAAACACATGCAAAAAAATGTAAGCTGTCGTGGAAATAATGAGTAATTTATTCCTTTCTCTGCTTCAGCCCTGAAGGAACTGCACGTCTACATAAAGTTTTGTTATATATACTATATTTGCTCAACTTCTCATTATTACAGGAAATGAGTGGTATTAATAATTCTTTTTAAATTGCTAAATAACAGCAGCTTATGATACTTAAGATACCACATGTTCCTTTTTCAAACATTATTTTCTACATTTTTTTTCACATATAGACACATAATATGTAGTATGATTGTAATGCATGTTGTAAGGGGAAGAAAATTACAATAGTTTTCTGATACTGTAAGAAGACATTCTTGTTGGTTTGCTTCAAGGCATAATATAATGAAAATGTGTGCCATTTTAACGAGTATTTGTTGTTAATGTAAGAAACCATGCTAATATTGTTATTGTTCCTAGAGCAATATTACAGGAATATAAGATAAAACAACTATTGCTGTCTCACAAGATTCCAGTTAAAGCACATTATTGCTGAATAATACCGAAAAATCTTAAAAACAGCTGTAGACGTTGCAATTTTATTTGGTCATTGGTGTATTTCCAATGTGCTTGATGCTGAATGAAAGCTTACAGAAAGTTTTTCCACGTTTTGTCAGTGGTATCATTACCACTCTGTGTTTTGTTACTGACTGTGCCTACTGTATGCCACATCCACACTTCAAGTGGGAAAGTTTCTAATAAAATGTTTCATCTTTCTAAAAGCTCAGTCTTTAGTGGCCTTCATCTGACATCTAATCAGCTCGGTTTGAGGTTGGCGTGGTGGGTGTATGGCATCGTTGGATGTGCCAGAACACGTCGTTCCAGGCACACAGACCACATCCCAGATGTGGTTTTAGCTCATTCTCATGGAGAGAGAAGTGACTGAGTACTGCATGTTAGTGTCATTTGTAAAAATCAGTTTTTGATAAAGGTGGAGTTCAGAAATAAGCTGTGTCCTTTTTACTCGAGTAAATCATTTTGCGTCTTTCTTAAGCTGAGTATACTCTGTGCGATTATTTCAGCTCCTGCTCAAACTGTAAGATTGACTCGCAGGGGTTAGAACAGGGGTGTCGAACCCCAGGCCTCGAGGGCCGGTGTCCTGCAGGTTTTAGATCTCACCCTGGGTCAACACACCTGAATCAAATGATTAGTTCATTACCAGGCCTCTGGAGAACTACAAGACATTTTGAGGAGGTAATTTGGCCTTTAAATCAGCTGTCTTGTATCAAGGTTACATCTAAAACCTGCAGGACACCGGCCCTCGAGGCCTGGAGTTCGACACCTGTGGGTTAGAAGGTCACAATATCTGTCTCTCGCTCTCTCTCCCTCTCTCACTCACACACACACACACACACACACACACACCCACCACCACCATCAACTTTGCTAAATTGCTAATGAAAAACATAATTGAGCAGCAATGTCCATCCAACTCTTTTCACGGTTGTTGTGGTCGTGATAATTTTGTGAGGCCACATCGAAGAGGCTCGGATGAGCCAAAGTTCTACAAGTTGTGCCTCCGTTGCTTGTGTCCAGATCACACGCTGCACTGCTGCTCCGTCTTTTCACTTCCATTTCTGTGTTTGTGCGTGCGCAGTGTGACAGGCCTCTGCTTCATCATCCTGATGGGAGCCAAAGATTTCCTCAGCATTTTGTGTGAGCTCCTTTTAAATCCACACCAGTTCTCCTAGTTGCACTTCAGCTGTGGCGTATAGGTCCTGTCATCTTGGAGAACATTAAACAAGTATTTTTTGGGCTTTAGAGAATATCTCTAAATATTGATTCTGCATGTTGCAAAATGAATTCTGGACCACTTCACCATGTAAGGAAAACTAATCCGTCTTTACTTCTTAGCACTAAGACAAGTAAGACAAGTAGTACCAAGACTCCTAAAAACTTTTACCTCCCTCATTCTCTCTGTTTCACCTTTGAACACAGACTCCATCCATCTTCTTAACCTTTATTCAGGGTCGTGGGGGGGCGAAGCCTATCATAGCTATCACAGGGCAAGACGCAGGCTACACACTGAACTGGTTCCCAGTCACAGACGTTCATCTTAAATGCTCATTCAGTATTACGACTTGTAAGTCCAGAGAATCAGCTGCTGCAGCGGGTTCGTTGGCTTTATTTCCATATATGACGAACGTTCTCTTGGCTGCAAGTCTTCCATGGAAATCATATTTCACATTATTACTCCAGACTATAAATGGTTGTGTTGAAGTCCCTCTGGTTTCTGCTAATTCTGAGCTAAAGGTGCTGCTGGGCATCTTCCCATGTCTCTGCAAAATCAGCTTGTGTGTTGTTAAATCCTCCCAATTCTTTCAATCTTTGGGCTGAAGGAAGGACAATACTCGGTGTATAAATGCTCAATCAACAATCTTTTATTCCATACAATTCAACACTTTATGAGCATAAACCATCCGGATGAGGAGACATGCATGCAGAGGGACACAGCAAATCTCAAACTAGTGGAGGGTTACTCAAGCTCTTATAGCCTCTGATGGCCCCCACCTAGTCGTAAAAACCTAACATTCACATGTTTTCTAACTCCTAGCTGAGCCTGACTCATGACCTTGGCTCCCTGTCTCTCTGCTTACAGAGGAAAGGGGGTGAAACTCCTGTGGAATGTGATCCGTCTCCTGCATGATCAGAAACCAAGGCCCTCTGCACACAATATTCTCTCCATAACTCAGCAGTATGAAATGTCATGAAACAGTGTAAATCATTCACAGTAAATCAACAGCATAGGACAATATAAACCTATCTAATAAATCTAATGATTTTTCACATTTTCTTAATCCAGAAGTGTAATGCAAACTAAAACTACACTTTGAT